TCCCATATTCTTGGCTGAAAAATTCCGTGGACAGAGGAGCCTGAGGGTCTATAGTCTAAAGGGTGGCAAAGAGTCAGACATGACTGAGTGACTGAGTACAAATACAAGAGCTTCCTAGTGCCATCTTTTTAATTGTGTTTTGGCTATTTTGTAGTTCCCTTGTTACTTTTTGATTCTTGCTGGGTTCCTTTGTGAGATGGTGGTTTCCCACTGTTGTGTGCTTCTTCTTCTCCATCTCTGTCTTTTGGGAATCTAGTCAAATTCTTTGCTTTGTGGTTGTCATGAGATACATAAAACATCTTGTACCTAGTCATATTTTACTCTGATAATGGCTTAACTTCAATCACATACAAAACCTTTCTACTTTTACTCTTCTTCCTTTTAAGTTTTTTAGATGTCATAATTTGCCTTTTTATATTGTGTATTTATTAGCAAATTATAGTAACTATAGTTACTTCTGACACTCTTGTTCTAATCTTTAAAGTAGCATTGTGTTAACATCATATTATAGGGTTCTGAGTTTGACTACATATTTATATGTGTATTTTTTCTTTCATGTTACTGGTTAGCCTCCTTTCATTTCAGCTTGAAGAACTTCTTTCAGCATTTCTTGTTGGATAGGTCTAGTGATGATGAATCACCTCATCTTTTGTCTGGAAATGTCTTCATATCCCTGAAGGATAATTCTGCCACATAGAGTAATTTTTTTTTTAATTAAAAAATTTTTTTTAAAGTTTTGACCATGCCAAGCAGCATGCAAAATTTTAATTACCCAACCAAGGATTAAACCTGTCCTCCCAGCAGTGAAAGCACAGGTTAGAACCACTGGACCACCAGGAAAGTTCCCAGGTGGATTATTTTTGATTGTTTTTTTCTCTCATTGCTTTGAATATATCATCCCACTGTCTCCTAGCCTGTAAGATTTCTTCTGAGAAATTCACTGATGTCCCATTGGAGGTTCCTTTGTAGGTTATAGTCTTCTTTTTTTCTTGTTGTCTTTAGGTTTCTCTTTTTTGTGTTTGATTTTTTTATACTTTCTGTTTTTTAAATAAAAGGTCTTGCAGAAGGACATTTTGGGTTGTCTTAATGGAGCAATCTGTTTATTAGCTTCATGAACTTGATGTCCAGATCTCTTTCCAGATTTGGAAAGTTCTCAACCATTGTTTCTTTAAATAAGTGTTCTGCCCCCGTTTTCCCTCATTTTTCCTTCTAGAATTCAAATGATTTGGATACTGGGTTTTTGAGGATGTCGTCATAGATTATACAGACTTTCTTCACTTTTTTATTCTTTTTTCTCTTTAGGCTGAGTTCTTTCAAAGGTCCTATCTTCTTTTTTTTTTTTTAAGAATTTAAAAAATATTCATTTCTTTATCTGGCTGTGTCAGGTCTTTATTGCAGCATGCAGGGTCTCCATTGAGTCCTGTGGGACCTCTCGTTGTGGCCCACAGACCCTCTAGTTGTGGTCTGCAGCATGCAGGGTCTCCATTGAGTCCTGTGGGACCTCTCGTTGTGGCCCACAGACCCTCTAGTTGTGGTCTGCAGCATGCAGGGTCTCCATTGAGCCCTGTGGGACCTCTCGTTGTGGCCCACAGACCCTCTAGTTGTGGTCCGCAGGCTCTGGAGCACAGGGGCTCAGTAGTTAGTGGCGTGAGGGTTTAGTTACTCCGTGGCATGTGGGATCTTAGTTCTCTGACCAGGGGTCGAGCCCATGTCCCCTGCATTGCAAGGCAGATTCTTAACCATTGGATCACCAGGACGTCTCCCTAGCTGTCTTACTGATTCTGTTTTCTGTGTGGTCTACCTGCTTTTGATGCTATTTCACTTTTCATTTCATTTGTTCAGCTCTTAAACTCTAGAATTTTTTTTCAGTGATTTCTATTTCTTAGTTAAATTTCTCATTTTCATCACAATCTGTTATTTTTTAAAATTTCTTTGAATTGTCTTTCTGTGTTTTCTTATAGCTGAGTTTCCTTAGAAGAGCTATTTTGAATTCTTTATTGTGTAAATAGTAGATTTTCCTGTCTTTAGATTTGGTTACTGGAAGATTATTGTGATCTTTTGGTGATATCATGTCTCCTTGATTTTTTGTGTTTTCTGATAGAGTCCAAAATGCATCAGCAGAAACTACATTCCTTTAATGGCCTCTGGGAATCTTACATGCTACTCTCTGACTTGCTTCCTCTCCCCAGGCGTGGACTTCCTCTGTGATACTCTGGATGCATTATGAGAAATGAGAGAATTAGGTCTCCTGAGCAGAGCCCTGCGCAGACTTAGGTACCAAACGAGTGTGGCTGTCCCCTTAGAAACTGGACTCAGTGGCTCTCCCTTTCTCCCGTGGGAGAAATCATGGGCCGTCTATTTAGCCACATGCTGTACCTGCACATTATGTGGTGCAGGCAGAGACAAACTGTTCCTCTTAGCCACTGCAGCTCATCCAAACTTCCTTCCTTCTTTGTCCTCAAAAGGAGTGTCGATACTTCTCCTCTGGAAATATGGATTGCCACAGAGGCTCTCCCCTCTGAAGGTGACTGCTGAGTCAGACTATGGCTCAGGGGCTGGGCCTGGCTCAGTCTCCTGTAGGTTTCACAGCTGGTACTGAAGTCTCTAGTCGGCTAGGTTTGCTGTAAGTCCCTTGGAGTAAGGTGCTGGGTTCCACTACTCACATGAACGTTCTTCCATTTGTGGATAGATGCCTAATTTTTGTTCTTTAGTTTTTAACATTTATACTTATTAAGTTTTTCCTGAATGTACACAAGAGGTTATTGGATCAGAGATTAATTATTTACGAGGAAGAAACTAACTAGTGAGTGGTTCCCTGAGTCTCACGTCTAACCCTGAGTCAGCAAAACCCAGGTCAAACGTTTGTAGACAAAGTCTGTATTATAGGCAAAGAATGAGAAAAATTAAGTTTTCTGTGCTTTTTATAAAAAGGAAGAGGACATCTGTCTCTCCTTCCCTTTCTGAGAGAGTTTTGTCAGAAATATCAAAGTCGTCATCGTTGTTCTTCAGTCACTCAGTTGTGTCCAACTCTTTGCAGCCCCATGATGTACTGGACCACACTAGACTTCCCTGTCCTTCACTTTCTCCTGGAGTTTGCTCTAACTCATGTCCATCGAGTCAGTGATGCCATCCAACCATCTCATCCTCTATTGTCCCCTTTTCCTCCTGCCTTCAGTCTTTCCCAGCATCAGGGTCTTTTCCAAGGAGTTGGCTCTTTGCAGCAGGTGGCCAAAGTATTGGAGCTTCAGCATCAGTCCTTCCAATGAATGTTCAGGGTTGATTTCCTTTAGGATTGACTGGTTTGATCTCCTTGCTGTCCAAGGGACTCTCAAGAGTCTTCTCTTCAGCACCACAGTTCTAAGGCATCTCTTGGGCACTCAACCTTTTTTACTGTCTAGCTCTCACATCCACACATGACTACTGGAAAGCTACCATAGCTTTGACTATATGGACCTTTGTCACAGGTGAAGTCTTTGGAATGTAAACAAATCTCTCTGTGATAAGATCAGGCTCCCTTGTCTTCAGTTCTGTGACTGGGAAGTGTCTTCCTGCTCTGGACTCTCATCCCCTTTGAAATGTACACACATCTCTCCAGGTTTAAGTAAACCTCTCTGGGGCTTTCGCAGTTGTAACCTAATTCTAAGGTTGCTTTTAGTCCAGAACCCCAAATTTCAGTAAAATTTGGCCTGAAAGCACTAACTGTCCACTAACATGAAAGTAACTTCCCTGTAGCCTCACAGAGGGATGTTTCTTAATGATAAAATCTGTCAGGAAGACTTAACAGTCCTAATTTGTCTATGTCAGATAATAGAACTGTAAGTACACTAAAGAGGGGCAACAAGAGAATTACAATTACACCTCAGCGATTGATGTAGTGACTAGAATTTTCAAAAATCATCAAAGGCAGAAACATCTGGACAACACTGTCCACTACATGTTTAAGAATATTGATGTGGGATTTCCCTGGTGATCCATTGGTTAAGAATCTGCCTGCTAGTGCAGAGGACAAGGGTTCCATCCCTGGTCAGGGAAGATCCCACATGCTGTGGGGCAGCTAGTCCCACGTGCCACAACTGCTGAACCTGGGCTCTAGAGTCCATTCTCTGCAACAAGAGAAAGAACCACAGTGAGGAGCCCATGCACTGCAGCTAGAGAGTAGCTTCTGCTCGCCACAACCAGGGAGAGCCTGTGTGTGGTGGTGTAGGCCCAGTTCAGCCAAAAATAAGTAAAACTTTTTAAGAATTACTGATAAATTTCCTTTGAGAAAGATCCCCAGCACTCAGTAAGAATATCTGCTTCCTTAGCTCCTAGCAGCCTTGGAACTTATTTTATTATTTGTTAATCTGATAGTATTTGTATTTATTTTCAATTCATTAATTGCTAAGTGATTGAAAATGTTTACATATGCTTACAATTTGATTTTTTCTTTTCGTAAGGTATGTTGATAATTTTATGTGTATTTCCATATTGTTACATAGCCTACTTTTGTTTATAATATTTTATATTGTACGTACTCCTCCCTTGTCTTTGACTTTTAAACCATCTTATATTCTTTAACTTAAATTAAAATGTTCGTATAGGCAAATCCCATCTCTTTACTCTTTTTTTGTTTTGTTTTTTTCTTTGATTTCTGCAGCTTATTTTTTGTGATCCTACTTGTTACTTAGAATCCATATAGGGCACGCTCTCATTTTAAAACTTAACCTCGTAAAAACAAGGTAGACTCGCTCCAACCAATGAATCATTGAAATGGGTCAGGTATTGTAATTTCTATCTGTTTGTTTTTATAACTTAGATTGTTAGGTGAAGTGTTTGAAGTGAAGTGAAGTGAAAGTCTCTCAGTCACGTCCAGCTCTTTGCGACCCCATGGAATGTATAGACGTCTCCAGGCCAGAGTACTGGGGTGGGTAGCCTTTCCCTTCTCCAGGGGATCTTCCCAACCACTGCAACATTATCCTGGTCTTCAGTAATTTAATATTATGTCTTCTTTTGGTTGTCAGATTATTAATAACTTCACAAGACGGATCCAGACCAAAATTAAAGATCTTCTACAGCAAATGGAAGAAGGGCTGAAGACAGCTGATCCACATGATTGCTCTGCTTATACTGGTTGGACAGGTAAGTCTAGGGGTTATAAGTAATTGATACATTTTATTTTTGGATTATGATATGTAAGACTTGGATCTGAATTTTTTTCTTTTAAAATGATAATGTTTTATACTTTGTAAAAGAAGTTTTGAACTATCTTCATTGATGAAATGCTTTGTAATTTTTTTAAAAAATTTATTTAAAAAAAAAAATCTAGCTTAAGCGGCTCTAGATTCATCCACCTCACTGGAACTGACACAAATTCTTTCTTATTTGTGGCTGAATTATATTCTATTGCATATATGTACCATACTTTCTTTATCCATTCTTCTGTTAATGAACGTCCAAGTTGCTTCCTTGTCCAAGCTGTTGTAAACAGCACTGCTGTGACACTGGGGTACGTGTGTCTTTTTGAATTATGGTTTCTTAAATGTATGCCCAGGGATGGTGTTGCTGGTTCATGTATTCCTCGTTTATTAAGGAATCTCTGTTCTCCATAGCAACTGCATCAATTTACATTCCCACCAGCAGTGCCCGAGGGCTCCCTTTTTTCCACATCCTCTCCAGCATTTATTGTTTCTACAGTTTTGGATGATGGCCTTTCTGACTGGTGTGAGTTGATGCCTCATTGTAGTTTGGATTGGCATTTCTCTAGTGATCACCATGTGTTTATTGGCCATCTGGATGTCTTCTTTGGAGAAATGTCTGTTTAGGCCTTCTGCCCAATTTTTGATGGGGCTTTGTTTTTCTGATATTGAACTATATGAGCTGCTTCTATATTTTGGAGATTAGTCTTTGGTCAGCTATTTCATTTGCAGTTATTTTCTCCGATTCTCAGGATTGTCTTTTAATCTTCTTTATTGTTTCCTTTGCTGTGCAAAAAGCTTGTAAATTTAATTATGTCCCACTTGTGGGGTTTTTTTTTTTTTAATTTCCATTACTCTCAGAGGTGGGTCAAAGAGGATCTTGCTATGATCTCGTCAAAAAGTGTATTGCCTATGTTTTCCTCTAAGAGTTTTATAGTTTCTGGCCTTACTATTTAAGTCTTTAATCCATTTTGAGTTTATTTTTGTGTGTGATGTTAGGAGATGTTCTAGTTTCATTCTTTTGCATGTGGCTGTCCAGTTTTCCCAGCACTGTTTATTGAAGGGACTGTCTTTTCTCCAGTGTATGCTCTTGCCTCCGTTGTCACATACAAGGCGCCCATAGGTGCATGGGTTTATCTCTGGGGTCTCTGTCCTGCCCTATTGGTCTACATTTCTATTTTTGTGCAAGTACCACACTGTCTTAATGACCGTAGCTTTGCAGTAAAGTCTAAAGTAAGGAAAATTAATTCCTCCAGCTCCATTCTTCTTTCTCAAGATTGCTTTGGCTACTGGGAGTCTTTTATTACAAATAGCTGTGAGAAGAAGAGAAGTGAAAAGCAAAGGAGAGAAGGAAAGATATTCCCATCTGAATGCAGAGTTCCAAAGAATAGCATGGAGAGATAATAAAGCCTTCCTCAGTGATCAGTGCAAAGAAATAGAGGAAAATAACAGAATGGGAAAGACTAGAGATCGCTTCAAGAAAATTAGAGATACCAAGGGAATATTTCATGTAAAGATGGGCTTGATAAAGGACAGAAATGGTATGGACGTAACAGAAGCAGATATTAAGAAGAGGTGGCAAGAATACACAGAAGAACTATACTAAAAAGATCTTCACGACCTAGGTAATCACAATGGTGTGATCACTCACCTAGAGCCAGACATCTTGGAATGTGAAGTGAAGTGGGCCTTAGAAAGCATCACTACAAATAAAACTAGTGGAGGTGATGGAATTCCAGTTGAGCTATTTCAAATCCTGAAAGATGATGCTGTGAAAGTGCTGCACTCAATATGCCAGCAAATTTGGAAAACTCAGCAGTGGCCACAGGACTGGAAAAGGTCAATTTTCATTCCAATTCCAAAGAAAGGCAATGCCAAAGAATGCTCAAACTGCTGCACAATTGCACTCATCTCACACGCTAGGAAAGTAATGCTCAAAATTCTCCAAGCCAGGCTTCAGCAATATGTGAACCATGAACTTCCAGTTGTTCAAGCTGGTTTTAGAAAAGGCAGAGGAACCAGAGATCAAATTGCCAACATCTACTGGGTCATCAAAAAAGCAAGAGAGTTCCAGAAAAATATCTATTTCTGCTTTATTGACTATGCCAAAGCCTTTGACTGTCTGGATCACAATAAACTGTGGAAAATTCTGAAGGAGATGGGAATATCAGACCACCTGAGCTGTCTCTTGAAAAACCTGTATGCAGGTCAGGAAGCAACAGTTAGAACTGGACATGAAACAACAGAGTGGTTCCAAATAGGAAAAGGAGTACGTCAAGGCTGTATATTGTCACCCTGCTTATTTAACTTATATGCAGAGTACATCATGAAAAACGCTGGGCTGGAAGAAGCACAAGCTGGAATCAAGATTGCCGGGAGAAATATCAATAACCTCAGATATGCAGACGACACCACCCTTATGGCAGAAAGTGAGGAGGAACTAAAAAGCCTCTTGATGAAAGTGAAAGAGGAGAGCGAAAAAGTTGGCTTAAAGCTCAACATTCAGAAAACTAAGATCATGGCATCTGGTCCCATCACTTCATGGGAAATAGATGGGGAAACAGTGGAAACAGTGGCTGACTTTAATTTGGGGGGCTCCAAAATCACTGCAGATGGTAACTGCAGCCATGAAATTAAAAGACACTTACTCCTTGGAAGGAAAGTTATGGCCAACCTAGATAACATTTAAAAGCAGACATAACTTTGCCAACAAAGGTCCATCTAGTCAAGGCTATGGTTTTTCCAGTGGTCATGTATGGATGTGAGAGTTGGACGGTGAAGAAAGCTGAGCACCGAAGAATTGATGCTTTTGAACTGTGGTGTTGGAGAAGACTCTTGAGAGTCCCTTGGACTGCAAGGAGATCCAACCAGTCCATCTTAAAGGAGCTCAGTCCTGGGTGTTCATTGGAAGGACTGATGTTGAAGCTGAAACTCCAATACTTTGGCTACCTCATGTGAAGAGTTGACTCATTGGAAAAGACCCTAATGCTGGGAATATTGGGGGCAGGAGGAGAAGGGACAACAGAGGATGAGATGGCTGGATGGCATCACCGATTCAATGGACATCGGTTTGGGTGTACTCTGGGAGTTGGTGATGGACAGGGAGCCCTGGCATGCTGTGATTCATGGGGTCACAAAGAGTCAGACATGACTGAGCGACTGAACTGAACTGAACTGTATTTCCATACAAACTGTGAAATTTTCTTTTCTAGTTCTGTGAAAAATGCCAATGATACTTTGGCATTGGATCTGTAAATTGCTCTGGGTAGTATTGTCATTTTCACAGTATTAATTCTTCCAATCCAAGAACATGGTATATCTCTGCATCTGTTTGTGTCATCTTTGATTTCTTTCATGAGCTTCTTATAATTTTTTACATACAGGTCTTTTGTCTCTTTAGGTAGGTTTATTCCTAGGTATTTTATTCTTTTTGTTCAATGATGAATGGGATTGTTTCCTTAATGTCTCTCTCTGGTTTTTCATTGTTAGTGTATAGAAATGCAAGGGATTTCAGTGTATTAATTTTGTGTCTTGCAACTTTAGTATGTTCATTGATTAGCTCTAGTAATTTTCTTGTGACATCTTTATGGTTTTCTATGTAAAGAATCATGTCATCTGCAAACAATGAGACTTCTACTACCTCTTTTCCAGTCTGGATTCCTTTTATTTGTTTTTTTCCTCTGATTGCTATGGCTGAGACATCCAACACTTTCAGTTTTTCACCATTGAGAATAATGTTTGCTGTAGGTTTGTCACATACGGCCTTTATTATGTTGAGGTATGTTCCATCAATGCCTATTTTCTGGAGAGTATTTTTTTTTTATCATAAATGGGTGTTGAATATTGTTGAAAGCTTACTCTGAATCTATTGAGATGATTATGCAGGTTTTTTTCTAACAGTTTGTTAATATGGTATATCACATTGATTGATTTGTGATACTGAAGAATCCTTGCATCCCTGGAATAAAAGCCCCTTGATCATGATGTATGAACCTTTTAATGTGTTGTTGGATTCTGTTTTCTAGAACTTTGTTGAGGATTTTTACATCTAATTTGTTGATGATATTGGCCTTTAATTTTCTTTTCTTGTGGCAGCTTTGTCTGGTTTTGGTATGAGGTTGATGGTGGCCTTGTAGGACGAGTTCTAGAAAAGTTTGAGCAGGATAAGTGTTAGCTCTTCTCTAAATTTTTGGTAGAATTCACCTGTGAAGCCATCTGGCCATCAGCTTTTGTTTGTTGGAAGATTTTTATTACAGTTTCAATTTCTGTGTCTGTAATTGGGTCTTATTCGTATTTTCTTTTTCTTCTATTTCAGTCTTGGAAGGTTATACTTTTCTAAGAATATGTCCATATCTTCTCGGTTTTTTATTTTGTTGCCATATAGTTGCTCGTAGTAATCTCCATGATTAATTTCTACATTGCCTGTTGTAACTTCTCCTTTTTCATTTCTAATCCTATTGATTTGAGTCTTCTCCCTTTTTTTCTTAATAGTTTGGCTAATGGTTTGTCAGGTTTTTTTTTTATCATTTAAAGAATCAGCTTTTAGTTTTATTGATCATTGCTTTTGTCTCCTTCATTTCTTTTTAACTTATAACTCCAATCTTCATGATTTCTTTCCTTCTACTAACTTTGGGGGGGTTTTGTTCTTTTTCTAGTTGCTTTAGGTGTAGGGTTAAGTAGTTGATTTGAATTTTCTCTTGTTTCTTGAGATAGGATTGTATTGCTATAAACTTCCCTCTTAACACAGCTTTTACTGCATCCCATAGGTTTTGAGTGTCACGTTTTCATTGTCATTTGCTTCTAAGTATTTTTTGATCTCCTCTTTGAATTTCTTCAGTGACCTCTTCATTACTCAGAAGCATATTGTTTAGCCTCCATTTGTTTGTGATTTTTTTATAGTTTTTTTTCCCCTTGTAGTTCACGTCTGATTTTATAGCATTATGG